GCGCCTGCGTGCCGCCGCCTCCCTCAGCCTCTGGGCTCGCTCAGCCGCAAGGCCCCGCCCCAAGCCTGACAGCCGGCTTGGCGCAGAACGGAAGCCGGTCGTGTGCGCCACACCTCTCGAGAGCCAGCGACCAATCAGCGCCAAGTTTCACCTGTTCGTGGCCCTTCATTGGTTTAATATTGCTGGGAGGCGGCGAGAAAGGGAAGGCGGACGACCAATCGCGGGGCCCACCGCGCGCGCCCTGGTTGCCCCGGGAAACCTAACAGCAGGCAGCAGCGGTCCTCAGACCCGAGACAGTGGGTCCAACATGGATAGCCAAGATCGGGATACCGAGGGCGAAGGTGGAGCCGAGCAAGGCCTGACCAGGCAGTCATCCGAGATCAAGGTCAGCTTCGAACCTCAGACCACGGCTGACCCTGCGGAGCCGGGGCCGGAACCGGGACAGCAGCCGGGACAGGAGCCGGGACCGGAGCCGGAGACCCAGCCGGTTGCAGACGACCCCAAAGCAGAGGCTTCGGAGGGGAGCGATTATGCGCATGTCGAGGTCCTGGAAAGTCTGGAGGCCGCCGAGGCTACAGACGAGGCAGTAGAGGCAGCGAGCGAGGCCGTGTCCCAAGAGCCAGAGAGACTGCCAGAGCCCCAGCCCGAGACTGAGCGGGAGTCCAAGGAGCTGGACGAGGACGAAGAGGAAGAAGACGATGAAGATGACGAGGATGAGGACGAGGAACCCGATGGGCCGGAGAAGCAGAAGGACAAGGTGAAGAGGATGAAGAGCAAGGAGTCACGGTTCCGGCCCTCACTGCCGCTGACCACGATAGTCGAAGAGGCGGCTGCTCCAGCCCCACGGGCAGAGAAAGAGAAAGCGAAGGAATCTGAGCAGAAGCGAGGTAGCGAGGATCTCGAGGCGACAGGTCGAGAACGACGCAAGAAAAGCAAAGAAGAGCATCTTCTCTTTGGAGAGGAGGAGGAGGAAGAGGAAGAGGACGAGAAGGAAGGGGACTACGACGACTTCGAGTGGTCTGCGGATGTTCGGAAGCTGCAAGAGCAGCAGCTGCGTGGGGAGCTAGTGGACCAGTACCACGCCCTGCTGGTGGAGCGGAACCGATACCAGCGCTACAATGTGTACCTACAGCAGAAGATCTCCGATACGCTACGCAAGAAGGGCCTGGAAGCAGCTGAACCTGCGGACAAGAGTGCGGAACCAGATTCTCCAGAGAAAGAGCAAACATACTTGCGCTATCTGGCCGTGCTGGAGGAACTGAAGAAACAAGAGGCAGACGACCTAGAGTGGTACCGCGAGGAGGTGCGTGAGCTGAAGCACCAGTGCCAGGAGAAGCAGGCCAGGGTGGAGAGAGAGTGGCGGCGCTTCCAGACCCTCAAGAAGCAGGTGGTGATGCAGGTCATGGGCAGCTGCCGCATGCGCGGTGGGCGCCAGGCGGCTCTGAGAGAGGTGGAACAGATCCAGGCGCTGGAGGATAAAAAGGAGAAGGAGATGAGCGCCTTGCGCCTCGAGAACGTGCAGCTGAAGCAGAGCCTGGTACACTTTGAAACCAGGATGAAGGCCCAGGAGGACTTGGCTGAGGGACTGCTCCTCATCGACTTTGAACAGCTCAAAATTGAGAACCAGACCTTCAACGAGAAAGTAGAGGAACGAAACGAAGAACTTCTAAAACTGCGCACTAAGGTGACCAGCAACGTGCAGATAATAACCCACGTGAAGGAAAAGCTGTCTTTCATCGACACGGAGAACGCATGCAAAAAGGCACAACTTTTGGAAATCGAGGCCCAGGTGGCCCTAGGAAGAGACCTATTGACAAAGACAAAGCAAGTCCGAGACAGCCTGCGAACTGACAACGTCAAACTGAATCAGAAATGTGGGCTTCTGGGTAAGGAATCACTCCTCCGAGACTTAGAAGAAAAAGTGGATAAGACAAAATTTCTCAACAGGCGTCTGGAATCCCTAAAGCGCCATCATGCGGGGCTCACCTTGTCCTGCAAAGGGGTGAAGCAAAAGATCAGGGAAGCCAAAGCATTCCTCCCCTCTTGACAGGACAGTTGGCAAAACCTCCAAAACTCTAGAAACTTTGTCCCCGACTCTCTTCTGCCCTCCCATAGTCATTCTAAGTGACTGTAGATGCAACTGGATGCAACTTTATTTTTGTCATTGCCAGCTTCCGAATTCCTGCTGAACACATCGGGTTACATGAGGTTGAGTAAAATATATCTACAGAGAGAAAGTGGGGTGATTAAACTGACTAATAAAGAAAAGCCTTTCTGGCCAAGCAGTCCCATCATCTAGAGGGCTGTTAAAACTGTTCCTTGCCCACGTGTAAGAATGGTTTAAAGGTTCAACCAGTGGCCAAGGTATAGAAAACCCCTGTGCACTGGTCTGATCACTGTCATCTTTGTACGAACTAAACTATCATCTTGACTCACTGTCTCAATTAGTCCACAAATCCCCTTCATCTCTCTGGATGGGTGTGTGGGCATGTGGAGACAGGATCTCTTACTCAACCAGGAGCTTGCATTTTCAGTAGGACTGTGCAGCTAGCATGATGATCCTGGGATCTGCCCGTCTCTGTTCCCCAGCACTGGGTTACAGGCATGCAAGGCCAAGTCTAGCTTTTTTATGTGGGTGTTGGGAATTTGAATTCAGATCCTTGTGCTTTCAAACAAGTACTCTTACCTTCTGAGCCATAACCTGTCATCAACAACCTGGCTGTTATCATTACATAACCCTCTTCCTTTAAATGACACAATTTTGTTTGCTAAAGTATATTGGCTTTGAAGTCAATAAAATGTAAAATCGTTTTTATGATTTCCATAGCTTGAACACACTTGACATGAAACCATTCAGATGCATTACTGACGATAGTTCAAGAACTGATTTCTTATACACGCACGCATGCACACACACACACATACACACACAGTTGTTATAGTTTTGGTTTCCCTCTACTCTGTCCATCAAGGTCATAATGAAGCAGTTAATTACTGCAACTGCAATGTTTTCTTTGTGGCTCCAACAGCAGAGGGACCCTCGATTCTGCAGTTGCAGAGGCCCCCAAGTGAAACTAGCAGTGGCACTAAAAGTGACAAGGTTTTTCATTGTAATGATGTCCTCCAGTGTCTTGATTAATTCAGCTGATTTCTATCCATCAGCTAACCAACTGAATGCTCCCTCATGAACCTTAAACAAGGTCAGCAGTGGGTCATGCAGGGCACTAAAGTTAGCATGCCCTAAGTTGCAAATATGTCCTAACTAACAATTATCTAGTAAATCACCAGTGGGCCCTCAATCACAACACCTCATGCTGGGATTACAACTAATTACAAGACACCCTTCATTTTTGATTACCTCCCCATGTGGTTCTAATTAGATTCAGCATGAGTGCTTGATCATGAAAATTTCATAAAGTAGTTCAGGGCCTGAAAAAAATTTTAAGTCGATATGCATAAGAAATGTGCCCTTCAATATCAAAGGAGGGTCTTTAACTCAGCCACCTATTCAGGGGCAGCCTAAGGTATTGGTGACTTGCTACAATTTTGGTGACTTGCTACAGTTAAGATTCTTTAATTATATAAGTAGAAAGAGGTTTATGTAAGTTCATCCACAGATAATAATTTATGGTTTTAACACTGGTATGAGTTACCTGTCCATAAAGTATGTATTAAATCCATGTATTTAACCTCAGAAGGTTCCAGAGTGCAAGTGATACATTTCATAAAAGGAAAGCATCTTGGAGCACATGAGCTGTGTAGTGACTGGTCCAGCTACCTTTCAAATTATCCTTAGTTTTACTTTAATAGTCAATGGCAAAATATGTGCATGTTTTAATAAAATTGCACTATTTAGTTTTGGTTTTGTCTTGTTTTCAAGACAGGGTTTTTTCTGAGTAGCACTGGCTGTTTTAGAACTATCCTTATAGACCAGGCTGACCTCAGACTCAGAAATCTGTCTGTGTCTGCCTCTGCCTCCCATGTGCTGGGATTAAAGGCATGCACCACCACTGCCCCAGCTTAATAAAATTGTACTCCCTAATTAAAAAAAATTAGACAGAGTATCACATTAAAAGCTAACTGGCCTCAAATTTGTGACTCTTCCAAATGCTAGTATTAAAGGTGTATGCTGCCACAGCCAGTTTCAACTCTAACATTTCATCCAAAAACTGTCACGGAGAAATATAAGTATACCTAAAAGATATGGGAATGTCCAAACTGTGATCCTACTGACCCAAATAGATACCTCATTGTACTGATTCATGAAATGGAGAAGCTTTCGAAAAAGAGTGCTTTCTGTTGGGTGGTAACATTAGGATGAATTTTCCCTTTGTGCTTTTCCATATTCTCACCTTACATATGTTAATATCTGTAATATGTAAATAACATACAAATATTCAAGGGAACACTTTTACATTCCTAACTTCACAAGCAGAAGATAGTAAAAGTCCCAGAGATGTAGTTCAGGGATAGAGTGTTAGTCTAGCATGAGCAAGGCCTTGAGTTGGTTCCCAGTACTGAACTGTAAAATGTATAGCCACGTACCAGTTTAAGCAGGGCTTGGTGCATGCTTGCAATTCCAGCATCACGAGCTACAAAGTGAGACCACACTTTTCTCCCTCCCCATCCTCTCTCTTACACAAGATACTAAAAGTTTATAGGCTAAAAGCACAAATCTAGCTTCCTAGAGAATGTTCGTGGGTTAAGGGGCAGTTCAATTTTTATTAATATTTCATAGGCCCATGGAAAGGAGCTAGGTCTCTCAGTCTTAGTTGCAAAGGGAGAAAAAGGGTTGAGTTTAGAGAATTTCAGTGAATTCTCCAAGATCAGTTTCTAAATGGTAATGGCTAACCACTGACTGTGAGATTCAACTCCAGGGTTCTGCTCTTGTCCTCTAGCCAAACTATGTATAGTCTGGGTTTATTTCTGGCCAGGAGTATCTACTGGAACTCTAAAACAGGCACAAGAAGCTATTTGGAGAAAAGGTGGTTGCCTCACTCCACACAAAACTCCCTGCAAGGTATAGAAATCCTGGAGGAAGGGGTAAACAGGGACTTTGGTGGCAGCATGCCATTCATTCCAGAATGAGCTAGCAGTGGGGGGATGCTGGCAGTGCTGACAGAAGAGATATAGACACCATGTCATGGCCGTGGCCCTGTTATTCAGCAGGCTTGAATAACATCAAATATTTTATAGCATATTTAGCCCCACACAAAGCATATCTACTCATTTCCATTCAAGTTCAAGCACTTCCAGATCTTGATGAGGTGCCATTTAAGAACTGGTTTTAGGTTCCAAGGCTGCCCTCTGCTGGGCAGGCCCTTGCCCTTGTTCACCTGAAAGCTCTGCTCAAGGTTCAGTAATAGCACTTTCCTCCTGCTGCTGGACACTAGTGCGGCAGTTCTGCCCCTCTTCAGGCAGGCTCATGATGGGCAGGGTTTCTGAATTGCTGGCCCCACATTGAAGGCATTCAGGAATGCACACTGGAAGTATTGGAAGGAATGAGAAATGTAGGCCACAACCAGCCCTGTGTTTGGGCTCCAAAAGGTCCAAAGCAAGCGTGCTCTCTCCAGAAAGCACGCAGTCTCTTGGCTGGTATGGAGGCCAGCTCTGCTATCAATCTGCTGTAGGCGCCTGAGCAAGCATTTTGTATCATATTCTGGAATGGGAACAACAAGTCTTTTATATGGGGTTGCTGTGAAGATTAGTATTAATAATCCATGTAGAACACTTGGTCCAGAGCCTGGAACAGTCAGCTAGCACTCAGCAACCCCAGACCAGAGCCTTAGCACCTCACCTCATGGCATGCAAAGAACAGTGGCTCAGAGAATAAAGTCATTGATTTAGATGGAAAGGTGGAACCTATGTCTGACCCTGCTGGAGGCTGTAACACAGTAGGCGATCTTCCAAGCAGTCTTGGGAGGTTTGGAGGCGATAGCATTGGGGAACTGAAAGGAAAGTGACATATACAAGCATTTGTCCTGCCTGGTTCCAAGTAGCTTGTGGACCCTACTACATACACAGTCACTTTCCTAAGTGGCTCACAGGAAGGAGCTCACCCCCTGTGCCCTCAGGTTTACAGGTTCTGAGAAAGCTCCAGAGTGTGAAGAGCCTTGGCCCAGCAGCTAGCACAGAGTATATAAATGTGGTTGTCTGCTCTCATGAGAATGCAGACTTATGGTAGGGAGGTCAAGGAAGCAGGCTTCAGAGAGTGCAGCACAGCTGGCATCCTCAGCGACTTGGAGAGGACATGTTGAACTCTGGAATCCCCCTGAGAAGGAGAGGAACTGCCCTGCTTTGTGTCTCACAAGCCTCCAGTTAAAATACTTTCTGCTAGACTTTAAAGCAAGAACGCCAGCTTTAAACCAAAGTACACAGTGAACATAAGTAACAATTTTACATGACTTTATTTAATAAAACCACGTATTTACAATTCAAAAAGTCCTAGTTTGATACATTTTACTAAATAAAATTAAAGGTTAACTGTACAAGCAATTAAAACATGATATGTAGCAAGTGTTATCAGGAGTTTCCTATTGGCAAACGTGGAAAATAGTCACAAACTGAGTAGTTAGAAGTACCTTTGAAGTGAGCATTGCTCCCAAGGTGACAGGAAGCCTCCCTTGCAAGCTCCCTCTAGAGTGAGAGCTGCCCAGCACCCTCAAGTTTAGGACTGAAAGTCAACTGCAAGTGAGGTGGGAGGTGCAGACTTCTGTAGGATCTGTTTCCAGTTTGCCAAAACAGGAGCAGGAGAGATGCCCTCAGTGAAGAGGGACTTGGAACTGTATAGCCTCTAAGGAGGGCACATCAGGCTCACACAAACAGGCTACGAAAACCCTGTTTGGACTAGAGATGCAGTCAGTGCTTGGCTGGCATGGAGTCCTGTTTGAGAACTTCATCCATGCCCACAAATTTATGTCAAACAAGAAAAGTTAAGAGCTGGGTTGTGAATACACAGAGAATTCCACAATGGCATTCACAACAAGGTGCCCAAGTCCCCTTGTCACAACACTTTCTGTATGACTTAGGAATGTCTTTATGTACAGTAAGAAAATATATACATCTTGAGAGAACAGATGCCCATATCATGGAATAAAACTAAGTACATCTGAAAGGAACGATGGCAGACAGGTCTGGGTAGTCCGCTCCTCATAGGCCAGCTGGGCCTGGGCTACATTCAGTATCTGATGTCAAGAATGGCTGGATCTGGAGGACACCGGATGGCTGATGAAGACATCCTCCTCCAAGAGGTCAGACATCAGCCTTTCACACTAAGGCAGAGAGCTATATGGAGGGTGTTCGGTAGCCTCCCTGGAGAAGCCAAGAGACCACAAATGAGACTCCAGGAAAAGAAGAGAGGTGGCATGGGTGAACGGCGTGAATGTGACAACCTGCTGATGCACTGGACTATCGCCAACAAGCACAGCAGATGAAGGGAACCCATGCAAATACACTGTCATAAGGCCGACCCAAGTCTCCCTGCCACATGCTGTAGTCAGTCAAGGGCTCCCCAATGGTTGTCAGACACTAGAATGATGGAGAGGATGGTTTCTGGGGGTAGCAGGTATGGTTTTAGAGGGCTGTGGACTATAGACCACATAGGCATTTGCTGGAAAATAGGTTATCAATCCCGGCTTACCTGTACCCTCAGGGACAAGGATGCCAGTGGATTATCAGGAGGTAATCAGTTTCCACAGATACTGGATGTCTTTTGTATTATTCTATGCAAAAACTATTCATTTCTGTGAACTTGGATAATCAAATTACTTATACAAAGTTCTCAAGTCAAGGAAAAGCTACACCACCACCAA